CCCCCACTCCCGCTAGAGGCCCAGCCCCGCTGGAGACCACGCCCCCAGCGATCGGTCTCCGCCCCACGGCTCCCCGCCGTTACCTCCCGCTTGCTCAGGGTGAGGTCCCGGCTCCTCCCTGGCCTTTGGGCCTTCACTTTCCCAGGTCCAGGAGTGTCCACGCTCCTTTTGTAGAGCGAGGATGTGGACGCTCCCACAGGATGCGGCCAGGCAGCGCCACCTCACGCCGGCAGAGGGTGCCGGCGAGACGCTGAGGGACACGGGAGTTTCTGAGCCAAACCTGCCACTTTAAGATAGGGAAACTGATAGGACACCCAAGAAAAAAAAAGGAAGAAAGAAAGAAGAAAAAATAAGATAGGGAAACTGGACTTTCTGAGGACTCCTCGCTTTGGAGCGTGGGAGATGGAGAGTGAGGTTCCGTAGAGGGGGTGCGGCTTCTGGGAGCCACTGAGACCTACCAGCGTGCGTTCTACCATCCACAGCTACTGCTGAGCAGACTCTGTCCTGGGGTGAGGAAAGGAATTTGTTATTCAAAGGTGGGAAAATGCAAAGAGGGTTACAGCTGTTAGTCCACAACAGGGTCTTAAATCAGCTGGGTTATATTTACGGAATCAGGATTTACTTTTTTTTTTTTTTTTTTAATGTGGCTATCTAATCAATTAAAAATCTTGTCTTTTTCAGTGCTACTCTGCAGTATTACCTCTGTTATATATAAATAGGCAACCATGGCCGGGCGTGGTGGCTCACACTTGTAATCTCAGCACTTTGGGAGGCCAAGGCAGGTAGGTCATTTGAGGTCAGGAGTTCAAGGCCAGCCTGGCCAACATGAAACCCCATCTCTACTAAAAATACAAAAATTAGCCAGGCGTGGTGTGGGCGCCTGTAATCCCAGCTACTTGGGAGGCTGAGGCAGGAGAATCACTTCAACCTGGGAGGCAGAGGTTGAAGTGAGCCAACATCCTACCACTGCACTCCAGCCTAGGCAACAGACACTCTGTCTCAAAAATAAATAAATAAATAAGCAACCATATAAATATCTGGGAGTCTACTTATGAATATTGTACCCTATTCTACTCCTCCAGTGCATTTGTCTAACTATGCTGTCTTATTAAGTATAGCTTTATAGTCAGACTTGACATCTGGTTGTCTGTTGGTCCTCTAGCTTTGTTCTTTCTGCTTTTTTTTTTTTTGAGATGGAGTCTCATTCTGTCACCCAGGTTGGAGTGCAGAGGCCCGATCTCGGCTCACTGCAACCTCCGCCTCCCAGGTTCAAGCGACTGTCCTGGGCGCCACCATGCCCAGCTAATGTTTTTTGTATTTTTAATAGAGATGGTGTTTCACCGTGTTAGCCAGGATGGTCTCGATCTCCTGATCTCATGATCCACCTGCCTCAGCCTCCCAAAGTGCTGGGATAACAGGTGTGAGCCACTGCACCTGGCCCGTTTTTTTTTTGTTTTTGTTTTTGTTTTTTTTGAGACAGAATCTCGCTCTGTCGCCCAGGCTGGAGTGCAGTGGCTCAATCACAGCCTGAACCTCCCAGGCTCAAGCAATCTTCCCACCTCAGCCTCCTGAGTAGCTGGGACTACAGGCATGCACCACCATGCCCAGCTGATTTT